CGCCGCCCCATAATCGTTCCGCTCTCTTCCCCCCCACCACCCCCACTAAGGGGTACAAATAAACATCCAGATTCCTTTCAATCCGTACTCAGAGTGTACCCAGATATCCATTTACTGAACACAGAATCTCTTGCGTCGTTTATTTTACCAGATGTCACCGGGATGCCTACGGGTTTTTTTTATCCATTTTGTTTCTAAGCTCTCCGACACAATATAGGAGAGGATATTTCAGTTATTATTACCATCATTAAGATAACTAAGCCCTCCGGAGTCATCAGTGATTTTCTGACGATGAAGACAGAACTTCCACTCCCCCAAAGGAGACGGTAATAAAACAGGATTTGGGGTGGGGACAAACCAACCCCCCCAAAACCTGTCAACCATTTTAGATCTCTATTTGGGAAACATCAGGAGTGTGTGTGAAGACGCCTACTTAATGCCGCCACTATTCCCTGCCGATTCGAGTTCACGGAGCCCAAAGACGGGGGTGGGGGTTGGGGGTGGGAGGGAGACGGAGTAGGAGATAAAGGGAAGGTGGAAGAAGAGGGAGGGGGTTGCTTTACCTGAGACCAGCCACTGGCCTCCATTGTTGGAGAATTCAATGGCATTGACACAGCCGAAGTGGCCCAGGAGGTCCTTCTTGTAGAGATTCCTACAGCCCCGCAGGCGTCTCCTCTGAAAATCCTGGGTGAGCAGAGGGTCTCCCTGCAAGCCCCTCTGGGACAAGAAGCCCACGACTGACCTCATGTTGCCCCCCAGGCCAGCTCGCCTTCTCATGCCGCTGTTGCTGCTGCTACTTCCCCGCCGGCCGCCCTCCCCCCGCTCACTCCCTCCCTCTGCCTTCTCTCCGCCTCCCCCCCCTTATTATTGTTATGATGATTTCCCCCCCTCTTTAGCCAGCCATCGCAGGGAAGAGGTGTTAGACACTCCGTTGCTTCCTGATCCCCTATAAACTCCTCCCCCGCCTCGCAGCGGCAGCAGCTGATCCACAGCTGCAGCCTGTCCCCTTCACACGATGCTTCTGCCGGCTACTGTGCCGCCACTGAACGTTAAGCGGGGGGCCAGAGGCTGGGACGGGGCTCTTTTATATAACTTGCCCGCTTACAGGCGGAGGCCTTTCTTAAATGGTGCCTTAACTTATTTTCAGTCGCCTTCCCCCCACCCCTACCAGGAAAAAAAAAAATCTGCGGAAGTACATCCCTCTCCCGCTAGGGATCAAAGTGTCATCGGATCCACTTTTATTTTAAGGGCTTGCAACAGCAGGAAAGGCACTAGATTTCTTTTGGGTGGAGCTAGAAGGAGATGAACGAGAAAGGAAAACGGCGAACCCGGCACTGCCGACTTGCATTTACACTACCCCCGTCTGGCCGATCTTCAGAATAATTAAAAGACACACGTTATTAGGAAGTTGAACACTTACTTGCTGGAGTTTGGTTTCTTTTGAACTGACAAGGCCCCAGTTAGCACCAAAGTGCTTTCTAGGATAGGATTGGCAGGCGGAATACAGTTTGTCTGTCAAATTAACCTGCTCTCCTTCTAGCCCTATTTCAAACTTGTTAGAATTAACTTTGGACAACTCCCGGTTTCTAATCCGTCTCTTGAGATAGTCCCTGGAGTTCTGGTGGTCCCCTGTGGGTGAAATGGAAACCAGCGTCGTTTTGTTTTGGATCACCAAAGAAAAGACAATGGAGGGGGGGAATTTCTCAAGCCCATAACAACTTCTCAAGAATTGATTCCAGCATGTCAAATTTGATGAGAACCAGCTCCATGGGGAACAAATGCTGGACAAATTAACTAGGAAGAACACTAGCTAATGACAAGTTTGACTGTAGAATTAATATGAATTGTACATAACTGCCTTCATAAACAGTAAATTTCTACAAGGAATTCTTCCCCTTTCTTAAAATGGCAAATATTTCTACTTTGAAGATGATTACCAGGGAATACTGTAGAATCTGTCTTGTCACAATTAATTATGAAATCATCCCTATTATTTTGTAACATTCTGCACAAGTGGCTTAAAATCTTGTACTAAAACGTGTAAACATATTTACATGAAAGCAAATCCCTTTGCTGTCAGTGCAATTTGTGTCCAAATAACGGTTAAACAATGCAAGTCAAATTCACAGTAATATTCCATTCCAGGGGGGTAGCTGTTTTAGGCTGTTTCCATACTTGTTATTGGCTCCAGGCTCTATGATTTTGGGAGTAGTTCCCCTCCCCCTGCTTCCTCACAGCATCGTGGGACTTCCCTGGCATTCCCCTAATCTTTCCCAAACCTGCTTTCTTGTGAAGTATTGAGAAAAATCATAGCAAAGCCTGGATGGCTACCATGTGGGTGGGGAAGTTAGGCTTTTCCTGGTCCTGCCCACATGGCAGCCATTTCCCTAGAGGGCTCTTTTTGTAGCAGGAACTCCTTTGCATATTAGGCGACACACCCCTAATGTAGCCAATCCTCCAAGAGTTTACAGAGCTCTTCTTACAGGGGCTACTGTAAACTCTTGGAGGATTGGCTACATGAGGGGTGCGTCGCCTAATATGCAAAGGAGTTCCTGCTACAAAAAGAGCCCTAGGCTTTCTTTAAAAAATTCTAGCCCTATTCATTGTGGAGATGTAAAGGGAAAGGCATATCTCTGCTATGAAAAGAGGTAGAGACTTTCTTTAAAAAATGAAAGCAAGGAATCTGAAGAACCTATTACACATATTGTTACACTGTTATATCAATATAATGACATTCTGTTGCTGGTTAAAAAAAATTAAAAATCTTGGTGTTGTGGCACGGGGGTGGGTGGGTCAGTTTTACCAGGAGATCAGGGCAGAGAAACCGGCCATGTGAAAGCCCTGTTGCTGCTATGCTGTATTGGCTACTACTGTAACAGGGAAAGTTCCTGTGTGGAAAACACCTTAATCTGTTGCAGTAAAATAGATGAGTCTTGTTTGTTGCACCTTAAAAACCAATAAGATTTAATTATGACACTCTCATGCACTAGGCATTTGACAAATAGTCCACAAAATGTTATGATGGAATAAAATATGGTTAGTCTTTAAGATAGCACAGAACTCCAGTAATATTCTCTGTTACGTCATGATATTATTCTGTGTGGTGCGCTATGGCATGGAGTAGGGTGCAGTGCAATAAACTTGTGAGGTGAAGTAGGTGGATGAAATGAAAGGTATTGTCTGGCTATCTCGCAGCACCACAGACCTCCCTCGAAGTATCAGGCTATAGCTTGTTCTCTGGTCAATGTGAATGGGAAGGAACTGGAATCACGGCCCTGGACGAAATAATGTGAATGTCCCTTAACTATTGTGAATATTTCCTCAGCGAGGAACATTTATTAGGAAATGGATCTCCAATGCTACCCGTGAGCTCAGGTATTCCAACTGAGGGAGGGAGCAGAGGGGTGTGCTCCTCACTTTCCCAGTAGAGAGAAGTTTCAGAAGCAGCACTTGGAGAGAGAGAGAGCAGCAGCAGCAGCAGCAGAAGAAGAGATAGCAGTTTAAATTTTGGAATACAGCACAGAGAGATGAAAAGGAGCTGAAGTACCTCGGGAGTGCAGTCTCTCTGTCTCTTACACACACACACACAAACACTTATGTGCTGCTCCTGGAAATTCTCACTCCTCATCGGGGAAGTGGGGAGCGTATAACAATATGGATTGATCTGACAAGATTTGACAGTATAGAGAATGATTTGGGAAAGGTAAGAGCATCCTGGCTGGCTGAACAGAATATATTGCAGAATGAGGTTGCTTTCAAAGAAGACTCAAGGGTGCACTCAGATATTTTTGCTTTTCCTTGGATAAAGGGCCTCTTGTGTCATTTGCAGCCCAGTTGCTATGTCAGTGGCTGCTATGCCAGAGGTAATGATGTCAGACTTTAATGGCGAGCCTTGCATGCCCAGCAACAGAAGCTGTACCACGGCAATATCTGCAAAAACAAGCAGCATCAACCCACACTCCCACGGGGTCCCTTGAAACTACACCACCACTCTCATCATATTGATTGATTGATTATTTTTATCCCACCTTTCCTGCAAGAAGCAGTCAGGGCAGCATATGTGGTTCTCTCCCCTCCTCCATTTTATCCTCACAACAACACTCTGAGGTAGGCGAGGCTGACAGTGGGAGAGTGATTAGCTCAAGGTCACGATGACGGGAATTTGAACCAGGGACTCAGTCCAACACGCTAATCGCTAACCACTGTGCAACACCACACTTTTGCACAGTAACAAAGCCCCTCAGAAAGTATCAATTCACATATGGCTGTAGCCAAACAATCCCATGGTGTCAATCAACCCAGTGCACGCAGACACACACACACCCCACACACAGCATACAACCTTATAGTCAAAGTGCTACCATTTCTCCCTTCTTCCACTAAAGGGCTTTTTAAAAAATCCCAGTAACAGACAGATTGCTATAGCATTATAATGTTATAGCATTTGTGCCAAGGTTGAGTAAATCATCTACATGGTAACAGCCTATCAGAAGCTGAGAGGCAGTTCTCTAAACTATCTTCTATAGGCCTCCATCTTCAGACCCCATTGAGGAATACCTCAATGAACTATGCAACCTGCTGAAGAAGGCAGTTTCTACCTGGTGTGATGCTTGCCCCAAGTGAGATGCTGTTTGGAAGTGATCCCCCCTCCCTCTGCTTTCCCGCAGCATCGTGGTACTTCCGTATACCAAGAAGGTTTTTCTTTTCTGTGATCGTTCTCGAACCTACTTTGCTGTGATGTTTTGGGAAAGATCACAGCAAAGCTGAGCCAGTTGCCATGTGGGCAGGAAAGTCTGGATTTTCCCGGTCCCATCCACACAAGAGCCATTTCCCCTGCCCCAGCACACATCCCAGCTGCAGGCCAGCATGGTGTAGTGGATAAGAGTGGCGGAGAACTGGGCTTGATTCCCCACTCCTCCACCTGAAGCCTGCTGGGTGACCTTGGGCCAGCCAGAGTTCTCTCAGAAGTCTCTCAGCCCCACCTACCTCACAAGGTGCCTGTTGTGGGGAGAGGAAAGGAAAGGCGATTGTAAGCCGCTTTGAGACACATGAGGCTTGCTGGGTGACCTTGGGCCAGCCACAGTTCTCTCAGAAGTCTCTCAGCCCCACCTACCTCAAGGTGCCTGTTGTGGGGAGAGGACGGGAAAGGCAATTGTAAGCCGCTTTGAGACGCCTTAAGGTAGAGAAAAGCTGGGTATAAAAACTTCTTTTTCAGGCTTTTTTAAAAGGTCCGTTCATATACCAACAAGCCCATTACCAGTTTTTTAAAAAAACCTCAGGCCCCCAATAATGAGTGTGGGAGACTAGGTGCCATGTGGGCAGAGGGAAAATGCAGGGAAAGCTGCCACCAGGGAGCCCCACTGTCACAGCACTGGATCGGCAACTGCTATAATAGTAGGGATTCCATAGGGAAATGTTGCCATGTGGAAAAGGCTGCAATGTCCTGTGGGGGCACTGGACAAAGATTGTTATGAAGACTGGCCAGAAGGGAGAGGTATAAATGGCAGCTGGCAATACCAGTCTACCAGTCCCATTGACTCAGGAACTGACACCCACTGCAGGAATGTTTGGCCATGTGCATTCCAGCCTCAGGCCTTATACTACTGGCACTCCAAACTTATTGGTCACATGATACAAACCTCCTGAGGAAGTTATGGACTTACAGTGATCATCCGAAAAATACCATTTGTGGCTACCATCTATGTGAAATCCTTGTACATCAATAGTTCACGCCTCACTAATTCGCACCCTCTTTACTCTTCTGCCTTAATTTTGTT